ACTCCCCCCGTTAAGGGAAGAGACACAGAGACAGGGGGAGAGGAGAAAAAGTGAACCAAAAGTAGCTAGTTAATTTGTAATTCTTAGTGATTTTCCTGGTCAGATTCCTTCAGTTCCTGTCTTCCCTTGATGTTTCAAGAGTTTTGAGGCCATTTCTTAAAATTTAGGGTTTTTGGAAAATTTGTCAAAATTCAATGTTTTTGGATAGTTTGCTGGTCAAATTCCTTCAGTTCTTGCCTTTCCTTGATGTTTCAAGAGTTTAGAGGGCATTTCTTAAAATATATTTTTTGGGGTGAATTTTTTTGAAAGTTCAATATTTTTTGGATAATTTTCTTGAAAATACTACGAATCGGATGAAAACGGATACACTTGTTCAGCTTTCTTGAAGAGTTGAGCGTGTGCCAATCTCATCATCACGTGCATCACTAGCATCATGCGCATCACCAGCATCATTGCCATCACATGTGTGCTTACTATGGCCTTATTAGGCGCTTACTAGTAGCATAATAGTACATGTCTGCAAGTAAGTGCCTCAAGTTGATTAATTGAGAAATTCAGTGCAGTTGAAGGAAATTTGGGGCCATCACAGACTCCAGTTGGAAATGACATTTTAAGAAAGTTTGTCAGATTCGGGAATTCTCAACGGCAACTTAGTAACGTTAATCAAAAATTAAAGGACATTTGGCAACACTAGTCACTAGTCACTAATCATTACTTTTTTGTGATGGGCTACAGTGGGACAGCTTTGTGTATAATAGTGTATAATTCACTGGGCTAGGAGCTTACTATGCGCTTATTAGTGGCTAACTCAAACGCTTGTTGGAATAGTTTTGCAACCTTGGTGGTGTGTAAATGGAAAATGCCCTTCCAAAGTCTCTTGATTTTAATCCTGGGTTTTAGTCTATTTGTTTAAGGAAGGTTGGAAAACAAGAGAGTTCTTTCTTCAGCAAACTCAGAGGATTGATAATGATTGAGGCTTAAGGCTCAAAGGAAATGAACAATAATGTCATTAGGGAACATGATGAAGGTTACCTATTTTGTCTGGGAATAAGTGTGAAGCTGGCAGTCTGGGTGGAACTCCATTCTGCGGTTTATTTAGTGCTTATTAGTGGCTTAATTGGAGTTTACCCGGAGCTCACTTGCAGCAAGTCCTTCGTCCCTGTCCTTCGTCCCTGTGGAGATGGTTTCTACGGATTCCTCTCATTTCATTCCCTGTTTCTCCAATAAGCATACTCTCAATATTGTGACCCATGTGGTAGACCACATCAGGACCAACAAATGAACAAAAGGAAGTCATGACCATGTTGGAATGCATCCCTGTCCGCTGACTATTCTCGACCCGGCCCTACAGCGTCCACGGCAATGGCTGCATAACCACAGGCACCCGCGGTGATCAATACCCAAGCTAAGCAATCCTGCAATCTACTGTTAGAAGCTCACAGGCTTACCGTGTGCTGACTAGGAAACGCTTCGCAAATCACCCACTGGCTGCATGCTTTGAATGCCGTTTGCGCTGGCAGTGGTGTATCGTGTGGACAAGCGAAAACAGGTATGTTTCAGACAATTTGTGTCTCAAATCTCTCGAAATCAAGCCTTTGGAAGATTCTTTCTTTTGGTATCCTTTCCCTTTGCATTCTGGTCCTGAACCCAGCGAAGGACAAATGGTTTCTGACTCCTTTGGACACTTCTTTTCAACAATTGACTGCCGACTGAACATTAGAGGCTTGGTAAGGCTTTATTAGTTATTTATTTGTGTTGGGAGGACCCTTTGCACATTCCACCTTGAATGGTGAAAGTCAACTTTCCCATCTGTATCACGCCTCATCGCCAGACTCTGCAGCAGATGCTGATGGCTGTCCTTTTGTCCTGAGCTGGGTCGGGTTTTCATCATATTTGTAATAGTTTATTTGTTTATTTTCGGTCAATCTGATGTTCCATTGCATCGCCCACAAATTCCTCCCAAAAACAAAGACGGCTTGAAGCTGAGTGTCTTTCTTGTTTTTGCAAGCTCTTTCATGTACTTCAAGACTTCTTTTGGGAGTTTGGCAGGGGAACTTGGTGAATCATGTTCAGGCAACACTGAGCTGAATCCGCCCAAGTGGTTCAGTGGCAATCTGCCCTCTCGAAGGCGGTATAGCTGGAAGGAAATGAACTTCCTCACTTCCTTTGGTCCCCAACCTGTTTTGCCAAGCGGGTCCCCTCTCCGTACCATACAGGTAGATAGCTCCTTCAACATTTCTTGGCGGTTTTTCCTCAGTTGAGCCCAAGCCGAAGGATGACAATTCCACAATTCTACATCTACACTTCAATCTGCAAACGTCAGATGAGTCAAAGGGTCCCCAAAGGTTTGTCTGCAGGCTGCAAACCGGAAATAAAGGTAAGAATTGCAAACAAAGTCGGCCGCCGTGTTGAAAGAACTGCATCGTCTGGAAGACACTCATGCTCCAGGCTAATCAGCAAATCTTTGATGTCATTGTCCTTTGACTGGCATCTTTGGTGTCAAAATCAAAAGAAAAATCATTTGGACATTTGAGCCACCACAAAAAGAACCACACAACTGCTGCTTTCTAGGCACTGGAAGGTCCGCCATTGTTTTGAACTTTTTCCACATTGAATCGGGGGATATCACAAGGCCAGAGGTGGGGCTCGTGGTTGGCATCTTGGTCGTCTTTGTCATTCTTGGCTCCAAAATAGGAACAGTGCAATCCGTGTACCTTAGCAGACCAGACTGAGCCAAATAAGTAGCAGCAGATAGCACTGTGAGCAAGTCAAATAAGTAAGTAGGAACTTCCAATTTAGCAGTTAATTAGGCCTTGAAGAGTGCATAACAAATAAGAAAAGCCACATTAAATCTTCCTCCTCGCTCTCTCATGCAGCCAGCAATCGGCTGGTTGGAACAAAGCTGGTGGTCTCATGTTTTTGCTCTTCTGCCGCTTGTGCACGCCCCATCACGTACCACGCTTTCACATACACGTTTGGCCCCATTTATCACCGTACTGAACTAGTTAGAGCCGAAAAATTACAGGTTTGCGCCGGATAGTTTGAGGGTTCTTTGAAGCAAGAAACTATGTGATGCCGCTCGAATCCACCATGTGTTGACCAGTATCAATAGGGAGTCTTGTTTGGACCTTATCATGTTCCTATTAGGGCCTGTTTAGGCTCCTATTTGGTTGTCTTTTTTTGGGTTTGTCCGAGTTTCCCATCCTTCTGAAAATCTGCTCTAGCAAGCCCCTGCTCACCTGCTCACCTCGTTTTCTCATCTTTAATTCACAAGCGTCCAAAGCTGGGATGGAGCTGTTTGACTGCACTAAACTAAACACTGATCCCAAACTAGTAACTAGTTCCTGCACAAATTGCAAACGTTGCATGAGCCTTCCAGCTGGGCCTTACTGGACAGATGCAAAGCATGTGAGTGCAATCATCTGGATCACACTGATGCAAGAGAAATGCATGCAGTTGCCCGCAATCGTGGATGCGCGACGCGGGTCGCAAATCGGCAACTGCGGCACGCCCATCGCCAATGATTGAGATGGGCAAACAGGCATTCCTAGTGTTGCCAACTTCTCCCGAGGCGTCATCCTGATTCTTCCAACGCTGCAATGTCGAGACATCAAAACGGTCAACCAAAAACACCCTCCAAATTGAAGTGCTGCCAAGGGGCCATCGGTGCTTGGATGCTATCCATAACTTGCCAGCGTTCATTCTCAAAGTTGGAACGCGATTCGACGCAGCTGACCAAGATACTTGGTGTTTGGGGTTGTCCCCCCCCAAAAAAAATCAAGTCCTTGTTGTCCTCAGCCCGTTGGTGATATTTATTTTGGTACATCTGCTTGAAGACTTTCAAGGCTTCTTTCTCCCGTGCATTGAGCAAATAGTGCAGCTTCATCGCCTTGACCAAACACCAAGTGGTACTTGGGGCTCCTTGTTATGTGCCTATTATCAGCATATTAAGTGATTATTGCATTTGATAAATTTAGTTGAGCGGCTTTGGGCTTGAGCTTAATCTTGCGGACCAGTGCTGTTCGTTCTGCTTCCAACCTGATGTCCAGCTTAGTCGCGACAAAATAGTCCCTTGGGCTCGTGGATGCCACCGATTTCATACGAGTTGAGATACGCTGGTAAAGTTCTTGGCAATCATAGGTATTCCTCACCTTCTCCCGGTTTGCCAACAACACATAGACTCGTGATCTGGCTGTTCCATTGTGTCCCAAATCTGCAGGCTGCACATAAATCGGGTAGAGATCATAGGTTTGGCCATATATCTTTCGGAGCATGCCCATGTGCACATCCTGAGGTCAGCAAAACTACAGAAATCCCTGAAAACACACCGTGTGCCTAGAGCCTAGGGCCCTACACCCTAAAAATGTGCTGTTATTTGCTATAGGACCTAGGAAATATAGGCCTACTAAGGCCATAATATGCCCCTATAGGCCCCTTGTGATCCAAATAGCACACAAAGAAGGCTATATTATTCGGCTAGTCTCCGGCACATTTTCGATTATCATCATCGGAGTTCGCCGCTCCAAGTGAATCTTGCAATGTGCAAGAAAGACCTGTGCAGTTGGGCCATTCTCAAACCTGCGCAATCCGCACATTGAAGCATCTGTGCAGGGCAGGCCTGCAACTTCTATGTCTGTCATCGCCCTTGGCCCAAACAAGGGACACTCTTTGCAGCAGGTGAAGCACCACTGTGAGGTCATCAATTTTGCGCGGTTGGCTTTGAAGAGCTTTCTGTGAAATGGATCTTCATTGCAGAAAGTGTCAGCTGGAAGGACCCGCAGCAAATCACCAAAGACACAAGGCTGAGGATGAACGCTTCCAGTCACAGAACGTGACCATTCGTAGTGATCAACTATCAACTGGCGGCATCCTGCATTTATCTCCTCAGTTGTGACTGTGACACCTTTCCTAGACTCCTAGACCTGGGCTCCAGAAAACAATTGTGTTCTTTGTGTTGTTGAACCAACTGAGTTTGGATCATGTGCGCTGACAGGCTTAAAGGACACCTTGCTTCCCAATGCCATGCTGTCATTTTTCTCGATGACAGCAAAGCTCATTTCACTTGTAAAGGCCCCTGTGCGTGAGCTGCTGGTTCGCCTCGTTGTCAACAGCAAAGAATCCTGCGCAAGCTTGCTGCCAATTCATCTAGAAACTAGAAATGCAATCACAACACCAGGACAATTTGGTGTCGAGGCTCCATTCAAGCACTGTTTAAGGCCTTAATATGTTCTTTCTAAGCCCCTAATAAGGATTTGTTTGCAAACTTGAGGTTGACACATAGTGACAACCCTCACTTCAATCCTGCAAGTTCTCCTTTCCAATTCTTGTCAGGATGGTGCGCCAAGCAACTTGAACAATTCGAGCGCTCTTGGCCAAGCTATCATCTGATTGCCACAGGTCCTCCCAGCGATTCTAGTGGTTCCAAGTGTAGTGAAGTGAGTGTAGTAAAGTGTAGTGTAGTTTAGTAGACTTGTAGACGACTTTTGAGTTTTGACGATTTTGACTCTTGTAGACCCAAAGTCCCAAAGGATTACATCTTCAAATGCATGGTACCCAGCCTCTGACAGATCTTCGGAGAGCAGGCTTGTTTGGCTGCTTTGATTCCAAGATGGAAGACTATCAGAAATCTCCGTCACCATGCTTTCATTGTCAGTGCTTGTAGCACTGGCGCACTTCACACCATGAGGCATGAGGTCTGACTCTGCCATCGGGTGCAAAGTTCGAAGGTGTATGGGAAAGACATTGTCAAATATGGCGATGTGTTGATTTTCTATCCGATCCCTCATAGAAACTTTATGAATATGAACAGAATTGAACGACAAAAAAAGTGGGTAGGCTTTCGGCCAAGTAAGTAGGCCCAAGCTTTTCTCACAGCCTCTGGGCCAAAGTGCTGGCAAATCCGGGCAGGCGACCTCCACACCACCAAAACTACCCTTAATATGTCCTTACTAGACCTCTCTTAGGCATTTATTTTGGGGGCCCCCTCTGGAGCAGCACTGCCAACAGCTGGTGTCACCAACTGCTGCTACGCTGCTACACCTTAATTGCTGGCCGCTGCTAGCCGCTGACCGCAACAGCCGCTGTCAAGTGGGCATTGTTCCAAAAAAAGCGAGAATCAGCGAGAAAAAAGCAAGCGAAAAAGCAAGCGGAAAAGCAAGCGGAAAAAAAAAGCAAGCGGAATAGTGAGCGGGAAAAAAAATAGTAAACAAATAGTAAGCGGAAGAGCGGCAATCAGGCAATGCTTATGATTAAGACATATTAAGAGTGAGTACTGTGTGCTATTACTAGTTACTACCAGTACTGAGTAATTGGTACTTAGTTAGTTTAGTTGGACAGTTAGACTTAGACTTATTAGCTGCAACAACAACGTACAAAAGCCAGGGCGGCCAAGCTACACAATGTTTATGTTTATAGTCTGCCTGTGTAAGTCTCAGTAGTTACAGTTACCAAAACAGCAATGTTCCAAAAATTGCACCTCTTCCGGATCTGGATGAGTATCTTGTTGCCATTGTTCCTGCTCTCCCAGTGTGAGGACTGTGCTGATGGGCCAAGGCTCCTGCATCTGCTGTTTAGAGATGATCTCCTGCAAGAATGCATTTCTACTTCCAAGTGGCTAAGTCTAAGTCTAAGTCATCAAATCTTTTTTTGGTCCCTAGTGGCCCCTAGTAGCCCTAGAAACTAGTAGATGGCTGCAAATAACTGCCTCACCCTGCGAAGAAGCTATGTTTGTCCCGTAGTATAATGCAGGCTGCGTCTTTGGTACCATCAGTCCAAGCCTAGCCTAGCTAGGCGGCCAGCGGCTAGAGTCTAGAGACTAGTGACTAGGCCAACCACCATGTTGCCAATAAACTTGTGCCCTTTGAAAGCCAGCATGAACACGTCCTCGCACAGCTCAGAGAAGCGTTTGGCATCATCTTTGCTGTAGGCATCTTTGCGAAGGAATACCAAGAATAGCCTGGAGAAGGAACCAAGTGACGCATACATACAAAGACACATAACAGATGTTCTTGGAATCAAATATCAGATACGGATATCGGATATCGGATATCGGATTCGTGTGCAGATAAGGTTCGATATGATATGCACAGCTTCGAACCCATTTCATCCATTGTACCCATGCAGAGTAGTCATGCCCCCGACCGACATGAAGATTCTCGACGACGCTTCAACCATGTGAAAAACACCTCTTGAAACCCTAGGACCCAGGCCCGAACAACCCCAGTTGCTGTAAGTGCATAAGTCTGTTTTACTTACTTACATTGACATTGCTTTGGCTAGAGCGGCTACACTTTGGACAAACCCAAAAGATTCCTGTGACTAATGACTAATGATGGTCCTTGGTTGGTGGATTATGCAGCATTGTTAGCAAAACATTCAGATTCAACTTTCCTCTTCCATTCCACCACCATCCCATGCTTGCAATTTTCCACCAAATTGACTGCTCCTCTCAACTGCTGGCTTTTGCTGCTACTGAGTATTGGAATCTATCGGATTTCCGTTGGTTCCTCTCCTTCTCCCTCTCTGCAAGGCCGCTCATACGTTGCAAAGTCTTTGGCCCCTGGAACTTTCATAAACTCATCTCGGGCTGCCTTCCGCAAATTATAGCTGGCTATGGGTGCTTTCATGTGCAGGTCTTTTGAATCAAAGGATGCTGCCTCTCTCAACCATTGCACCAGTGCTCCCAAACAGCGCCCTTGTCCTTGAGCCTTCCTGGTTTTTGAGTCTGAAGGGCGAGTTGAGCGTTGCCTGGAGCAATCATGAATAGGACAATGAGCTCGGATGAATTCTGTAGATATGTTATATCTAAGTTGCGAACCTTCAAAGTCAATTCGCACTTCCGATACTCTTGAAGCACGGGGTGTCTTAAGATCAATGACTTCTCTCAAGTCGGCATCTTCTCCAGGAAGAGCCGGAACATCCTCATCCACTCCTTCTCCTTCCATGCCTCCAGCATCTCCAGATTCACTTTCAAAAAGTGCCATTGCTGTAGCGATGGATTCCTCCAAACCCAAGCCATCTTCAATGCCCGAGTTGCAAGAATCGGAATTGTCCTGCTCCTCTTCGAGGAGGTCTTGTTCCTCAAAGTCGTCGTCTTCTTCCTGGTCCTCATTTTGATCAGGTCCAGGTATTGGAGCCAAATCTTGGTCATGGTCTTCTGGAACAAATCCACCAATAGGAGCAAAATCTGACATCTTATATGGCCTGGAACGGTTCGAGCTGTTGGAAAGTTCTGTCTGTTCTGTTTGCAGTGGCTGCGCCTGCAGCCCTGTGTCCCGCTTCTCCTGACGCTTCCTGGTTGTGGCACTCTTTTCCTTTTTGAACCTTGCTGCTGATTCAACCTGAGTTCCTCGCCAGATCTTGTTGAATAAGGGGGTATCTTTCATGGGCTCAACTTCCAGCCTATTGGGAATCATGTCGTACTTGCTCAAATGTGTGCTGGACGCTTGCGCCAAAACCCAAAAGCTTGCATCGTACACATATCCAAAATAGATATTCTTCACAAGAAAATGCACCAAAGTATGAACAGCAGCTTGACTTGCCTCAGCAAAAAGGTATCCTCAAGTTGCATTTCGGTTGCTAACAGCTCGTTCAACTCATCCATGTCATCTTCTAAGTATTTGATTGCTTTCAATGAGCGCAGACAGGTGTTGCTGAATTCTCAGGCAAGAGCTTCAGCACTGACATTTTCCATGTCTTGTAGTTGACAAAGCCAATGTGGAAGAACAATTCGGGGACAGCTGCCTGATCGAAGTCCATTCGCAACCCGACCACCTTAGCTAACTGCTAGCTGTGCCATCATGGTAAGTTGCACGAGGAAAACAGGAATTATTGAATTATTGTTTATCTTGATATCTGACATATCAAACAATTACTTGGATAAGAAAAGGGAACACTTTCTAGTCACTAATCACTAGTCACTAGTCACTAGTCACTAGACCATGGCTTGCTTACTTACTTGACCTATGACCTATAGGACCTACTATATACTTACTTGTACTTTTCGCCATCCTACAGCCAACCGCCCTCGCCGAAGTAGTGACTTGGAACTATAGTAGGACCATAGTAACTATAGGCCGCAAGTCGTAAGTCAGTCAGGCTACTCACTCAAACAGTTTCAGTTAGAATGATGTAATGAAATTATGTACTGCAATGTAATTACCAATGTGGATGTTTGCAAAGTAGTGTGTAAAAGCTCTTCTGCCTCGTGACCACCATGCCCTCTTCAAGCAAAACTCGTTGGTCAGATCGTTCCTTTTCAGAGTTTTGCCCTCGGGACCAAAACCAGGTTCGCATCACTTGCTGAAGATTTGCTTCAAACCAAACAGCAAGCAGATTGTCCATTGGAGAATTGCGACAATGACAGAGCCCAGCTTTAAAGCAGGCAGTCTCCTGGTAGAAATGGCTGTTCTTTTTCAGGTGGATTTTTTCTTGGTCATCCTGCCTGATCAAATCACCACAGCTTTCATCCCAGAATGATTGGAGCCTCTTCCTAAGGCCAGAAGATCTTGCTGATTGATTTGACATGCTCAGCGCAGCCTGCCAGCTTAATGAATGTTGAATAGCAGCATAGAACATAGAATCAAATATGAATAAATAGTGAGTGAATTGTTGTCATATGATTGAATTGAATTTGGGGTGCTGGTTGTGATGATATGTTGCAAAAAATGACCGGACCAAATGTTGTCACTGAAATTGAAAGTTAAAGTACTATTAAATATTGCTTTTGATTTCTGACTAGTGACTACAGTTCCGTATGTTACAAGTAAAGGAAACAAATTGCCTTTCGTCACCCAGCCTTAGTCATTGGAGTGCATGGAGGAAACCATTGGGCATGTCTGGATATCTCAGAAAAACCAGAGTCTGCCTGTGTACACATGTCTTTCATCGGCACGCTGGCAAAAACAGGAGGAACCCCCATGACGCATGCACGGTCATATTCATCCAAAGCAAGCTTTGTTTGCTCTTCTTGGTGCTTGAACGCCATGTTTAGCTTCCGGAACTTGGCACGAATCTCCTTCAAATCCTGAGAAAAGTCACGAGAATAAGATGTAACAAGTTCCATCCCAGTGTGTGGGGCACGCAGAAACTCTTCGGATGCTGGAATCTCTGGCTCTGGCTGATGTTTCACACACTTGCGCCCTCTTGGCCCAAATGGGCGAAAACCCTGCTGCCCTGCAACAGTAGCTTGCTCACCCATGCGATCATAGTAAGCCTTGTCCTCAGCACTCAGACTCTGGTACTCCTTGGAAAGAGAAGCAAAGTCTTGACCAAACAGTCTTTTTCCACTTCCCCTGCAATGAACAAACGCTTTCCATGCACCTCCAGAACAAGATCCTTTCTTTGGTTTCTTCAGCCACTCAGAATCCTGCTCCTTTGATGTTGATTGAGCCATTCCACCTGTTTCAGCTTCAGCCACAAATGGTTTGGAACCACTGTTCTCCCTTCTGACAACCTGCTTGTAACTCCAATCTGCACTTACGGTTTGAACAGTTGGGGCCCAAGCTTGCACCCCCCTTGACACAACGATGCGCCGTGTTGATGCATGCCTTGCTTCAATCGCTGATATGTCCAGATCTGTTGCCTCCGCGATGGTCTCCAAGGTAGCCAAAGCATCAGCAGTCATCTCGGGAAACCATGAACGAAACTGCACTGTGAGCTCATCCCATAAGCATGATGGCTGTGCGCCATATCGCTTGTTCACCAAGGCCAAGAACAGTAGATAGGGGTGCCCATTTCGGGCAACGCGGAGAAGCTGGTGCATTGAACAGGCACTTTTTGAAATTGCACGAAACATCAAATGTTTGTGCTTTGTTGTTCTGGCCCATTCTGGTAGAGCCTGGATTGGCCGGACAAGGATGCGCATCAGGCCAATGAAAAACTTGTTCAAATCATCCTGAAGAGCTGCCTGCAGCAATCGAAAAGATCGTGGCTTGCCTTCCATTGCCAGCTTTCTTTGGTCTTCAACCCACTTCTCGCTAGCCACATAAAGGCAATGGTGAAGAAGGCCTGACATCACTGTCATGAGTTGCCTCAAAATTGACAGACGTGGAGCTGGTGAGGAAAGTGACCACTGGCGAGCATTCCTCTTGTATGCTTTGTTTCTCCGGACCCAGTCAGATGCTGTAGGATCATCGATATGCTCCTTGCAATGTGGAAAACTAGGTCCAGGTGTTAGTTAGTTAGCTAGTTATTTAGTTACTTAGTTCCGATTTGCAGGTCTTGCACAGCCCCCAAACTAACTTCCGTAGCAACCATGACAAACATCTATTGAAATTGAATCTATTGGTCTTTTTGAACAGAATAAAACAAATCTATTTCTATGTCTATGTACTGTGCACCGTAATCTGACAAGGGGCTACTGAGTCACTCTTACTTCCTTACTTATGGCCTTCCCTTTTGCATTCCTTCTTTTCCTTCCTTCCTTTGCCTAACTGGCTGACTGACTTACAAATGCATTGCAGTACAGTAAAGTAACGTTTAGTATTAGGCAGCGTGTTGACCTTGTTTTTGGTCTGGTTGTACATTGTAAATCTGTGTGTTTGTTGGATGATCATTTAAAACGAGCACCTAACAGCTACCAAAGGCAGGCAAGATTCTTCATCGTCAGCACCATAGTCCCCGTCATGGTCATCATTATTCTCATTTGTGGCCAACACAACCTGACCTGAAGAAGGTGCAGAGCTGGGCAGAGCAGGCAAATAGCCATTGCAGTCATCGTGTGGAACAGTGGGCGCACTCTCTGTGTGATGGGGGCAAGATGCTGGAGAACCAATCCAGCGAATCAAGATTTTGGAAAGTAAGTCATGATGCGCCGCCAGTAACCCTGCCCAAGTAACTGCAGGCTCCTGATTGACCCAGCGGCTCCGGGCAAAGCGTGGGGTTTTTGCTGGTATGAGAGCCACCGTGACAAATTGTGCCATCTTCTGGTGCGTTTCCTCCTCGTTCTTGCAGCACCCATATGGGCAGCAATGGACCATGTTGTTTGCATCTTGAATGTCGGAATTCAGCATGCAAGATAAGATGTATCTCCGTTGGGCAATGGCTGATGTACCGTTGGTAATGTGACGAGCCTTTTCTGGAAGGGGCAAATACAAGTCATACACTTGCTCTCGATACAACTCAACCTCCCCGCCAGGTGGTACCTCGTGCAGAATCTGCACCTGTTCGGCCAAAACTGCAGCCAACATATCTCTGAGTTTTCTCAACACTCCAGGGCCCTGCTGGGCCAGTGCCAAGCTCAAAAGTCCACTGATATCTGCTTCAAAATAGCTCATGGTGCACACGTTTGATTGCGCGGCAATGTGCACTTCGCACTTCTGAAGGAAGCTGCCCCAAGATGGACGTTTGTGGTGAAGATAACGTTCTGCTTTGGCATTTGACGCAAACCGGTCCACAACCTAGGTGTGCATGGCCATTTAGATTCAGATTGAAACGCTCGTGCCTTGTTAAAGCCAGTCTTGTGCATTCATAAAAACATAGATAAACATACATATTATATTAAACACATATATATATATTATATAATGAAATATAGAAAATATAGTATCAATGTATTTTTTCATCGCACGAATGAATGAGTGATTCTACCAGGTACTGAAGTTACCACCATGCCACCCCTTCATCAACTTGAAGTATATTCAATTCAGCCTTCCCACATGTGTGGCTTTGAACGGAATTTGTTGTTCCAATGTATCTGAAAAACTAACTAACTAACTAACCCCCAACTAAGTAACTAACTAACTAACTAACTAACCCCAACAAAGTTAATAACTAACACCAACTAACTCACTAACTGAACTAACAGTAGCAAAATAACCTACTGGCTGACTGACAAACTGCTGCTAACCAACTATTACACTGTAATACATGTAACTAAAGTTAACTAAAGCTACAGATGCAGCCAAAGGAACAGCAACCCGGAGTCTATGCTGAAATGCATCAGCCACCTTGTCAACCTCTGGAACAGTGTTCCGAACATTCTCGAGTGCTCGAACGGTGCACTCACCGGTAGTGCGTTCCATCACTTGCAAGAACGATGGAGCTGCGCCCGAAATCAGAAAGTGTTTGCCAGTAATTGTTTCTTTGAACAGTAAGTACAATGTCATCTCAACTTGAAGAACTTTCCCCTGGGCACATACTTCATCCCCCTCTAACCCAGTTGCTGCTTGCTTAGGGTCGGCGCCACATAGTCTGACACGTAGTGGTGTCTCGTCATAACGAAATTTCTGAAGCAATAGAACCCCTTTGATCTCATTCCTTTGTATTCTGTTGTACACTGCCTGAAGGAGGCCAGCCCAACAAATTCCACCAGACAAGACCGCCACTGCAGAAGCTTCACAGCAAGCTTCATCCACCCTCCAAATGCGCTTGTTTGAGTCCTTTTCCAACACCGTCTTGAGTGCCTTGTTCGACAACGCCTTGGCTTTCTTGTTTTAATATTGATTTATCACCAGTGAATCTACCCAAACCGAACCTGCCGCTATCACTCACTACACTAGTGTGTGACTGTTACTAAGTCCTGCTACTACTATGTTACAATAGACTCAAGATATTCTATTCTACAGTTAGTTACCAGTGCTAGCTGCTAAAGTTTAAAGTTTAAAGTAACAAGAGGTTCCTATGCACATTCGCCAGAACTGCAAACTACTAGCTACTAGTTACACAAAAAACAATACTAGTTTACTAGTTACTAGTAGTAACAAAAATAAGCAAGTAGTAGGAAGTCTGTACTGTACTATGAAACTACAGTTACTAAGCAGTTGCTAATCAGTTACTAATCATTACTAATCATTTTACTACAACAGTATTAGTGAAACAAATAAACACAAAAATAAAACCATCCAAACCCACAGGTCTTTTGGTAAACGAGACAAGCGACAGCCTGGGCTTTCAAATCCAACATGTCGGACACTTTGCCCGTTTCCCTGTCAGATTTGTCCTGATGCTGAAATGAATGCCGTGCAGCTGTAACTATTGCAGCTTGCAAGGGCGAACCCAACTCAGCCATGTTCTCCCAAATTGGTGATCGAGATGACAACAACATTGGTGAGCTGGCTTCAGTCTCGGAGAATTCCATAGGCATAGTTGAGTCACTGGTTGCAGGTTGTACTGACTTCGAAGAGAATGTCTTCAAAGTCGTCTTTCGCCGAAACTGTCTTGCGTACTCGATGCCTGTTGGCTCAGCTGCAAGCCGCTGCTCCTCCAAAGCTTCTTTGCTTGCGAGATTCTTTTGTCGAGCAAGTTGGTTTCCAAAGGTTCCCCTTGGCCGGCCAACCTTTCGTTTTTTGGTCACCATCAAACTAGAACTGGACATGTCTGCGGCGTAGTCATCCTGGACGCTATCCATGAAGTCTGAAGTTGTGTTTTCTCCCAAAAAAGAATCATCTTTGGGGTCTTCATCCACAAAATCATCGGCAGGAGAATTGCAGGAGCACTCACGTTCAAACTCTTCCCACAGGCTGTGACTATCCATGGTGCGCGCGCTAAGCCACTGCTACTCGCTAAGCCGCTAAGCACTCATCCCACAGCATGTGGAAGCGAAGTTAACATGTGGAACTTGTTCTTCAACCATGCGTCGATCATTGCACTTGAACGAACAATTTCATTTACGCTTTCTCGGGAAACCAAAACATGTGTCCGTTTCCGCAACACTTATTGAGAAAGTTGAATCGTCGTGAACCATCATGAATCATGAACACAGTTTCATGCAATGTGCGGATGTGTTCCAATTTGAAAGAACCACCATAGCGCTTGTTCGTGAATCAATGATGAGTCATCAGAGTAATGGCTGCGAACAAAGAGTAGTCGAATGCGTGAGATGGCCCCTCGGTTCAACAACTGGTTTGGATGGATGTTTCTTGATGTCACTGCTTACGGCTTACTGCTGAGTACTGACTACTGCTGCTGCTGGTCTTACTTTGAGTGAACCTACTGACCTACTCTCTTCACTCTACTCTACTCCAATCTACAATCTAGTGATCCCTGAGAAGTCTTTGTCCCGCCCTACGAGTACGAGCCTGGGTCGAGAAATCTGGTACCAAATCTTCATATCAAGCTGCTTCGTGACCAGGTAGTATCCACCACAGTTGAAATCGCATCTCTGCAAGAGAGACTTGAACCTGAGACATTGATCTGGTGAATTTTGAGGTGCATGGTATGAAACTGAACAATTCCGAATAAACACTGCAAAACCTTTGCTGGAGCTAATCCGTGAATCCGAGACAAAGGAGTTTCTGAACCACCAGCAATGAACGGCATTTGGAAACCCATCACTTGTTCAAACACCAGCGCCTTTGGTTCAAATCGTTCAAACCATTTGAGAAACTGTTCCATAGCTACATTGAACTCTTTGTGCTCATCTACAGAACCTGCTGCAAACCTGTTAGCACGTTGAGTTGAATAAGGATGGCAGGGTGTTCCACATATTCCCAAGTCTGGCTGAACCGGGGATGCTTGGCACTGCTGTGCATAGCGATGGTCACAACAGGGTCGGTTCTTCATTTGATCTTCCAGATTCTTAAACCAATGCGTTGGCTTGCCATGCGCAAGATTGGCGAGCAAGAACTTGTGGCACTTCAGATCTGGATCACTGGCAGACAGGATGTTGTAGTTGAGGTTCAAAGCCTAACAAGTCACGTGGCTTTCACTGCTTTGGATTTCAGCCAAAGCCACAAAAGTGTGGTGTGTCTATGTATGTAATGTCTGTATGTCTGTATGTATGTATGTATGTATGTAAGTATATAATATATGTGTATTTAGTAGTGAATATGTGCCTGTATGCCCATCACACTGGCAGCAGTCTTGCAAAAACAGGACGGGCAATGCTGGTTTGATTCCATTGATATCTTTTTGGTTGTGTGAGACTGGTGACTAGTGACTAGTGAAAACCCTGGCCTCGAACACAAAGCTCTCAGCGCTAATGCCGGTGCATCCACTGACCACATTGATTGGAGCAGCTGGTCTTTGAACATTGTACTCCCGGGTCAGACTAAGCAACCTTTCTGCCCAGCGGCTAGATAGTGCTGGAGAAGCATCTCTTTCTTCTGCCAAGTTACTTTGATGATTGCTGGCGGATGAATCCTCCCTACAAGCGATGGCTTCATCTGTCATCTGACTCAAGGTCTGAGTGGCAACGCATGCTTCCTCTTCAACGGACCCCCAGTTTGCAGCCAGGTCTGCCAAGATGGCAGAGTCCACATCCATGCTGTGGATAAATGACAGCGAGTTGCCTCTATGCTTCTACCATGCTACAGACAATGACCAAATAAGAATCCTGAATTGAGTACTGAGTAGCTCCTTAATAAGCCCTTGATATGTCTTTGATATGTGTTTAGTTTAATTGTGACTTCCTGTGCATTTAGCGATGCCCACAATATGCTGCTGACCTTTTGCGTGTGTTTCTGAAAAATAGTCAAAGACCGCGACGGCAAATGGCAACCTGGAAAGCATAGTGAAACACGGCCCTTCCTTTCTGAATGTTTGGCACTGTTTGCTGGATATTCACGATGTGCAGCTGACATATTTGTTTCTGGTTTTTGTCCGTGTCCCTACGCTCCCTATTCCGCTCACATTTTTTCACATGTGTATTTTTCCGCTCACTATTTTTCTCGCTATTTGTTGTCCAACAACTCACTAATTGCTCTCTTTTTTCTTGCTATTTCTTCCGCAACAAATCACTATTTTCTTGCTTTTTGTTTGGCACCCGCTCACTTTTTTTTTTGCTATTTGTAACTTGACAACTCACTAATTTATTGTAAGTTTTTATGGTAAATCACTACATCTCTCACAATTCTGATTGCTATGTTTTTGCCGCTCACTATCTCGCTTGCACACTCGCTCTCTTCAGGATCACAAAAAAAATTATTTTACCCTCACCCAACACCAGGCTGACACGCCACTCTTAAAATTACACCACCGTAGACCCCAAACAGGTGGGACAACATCTTAAGAAAGAATTGAGAACCCCTATAACAGTAAATCTGTTTGGGGAAAAAGGTGGTTCTTCGACTCTCTACTTGGGTTCTCCGCTTGAAACCGCTTCGTCCGTGGCGTGGCGTTTTGGCGACCGAAATGGTCGGCAGCGGCTTTAGAGCCGGCACCAGCTCTAAAACCTGGCAGAGTTGAACAAATGGAACTGGATTGAATGGAACGTTGGGGACATGAACTCTTCATTCAGTTCATCTGAGACATCAACCCACAAGTGCTACAGGATCCAGAATCCGGAAAAGAGGAGCATGTGCAAATCAAAGCTGTTGTTTGCTGCGCATTGCGTAACATGTCATGTGTGCCGCATCCCATAAAATATGACCCCTGAGGAATCAAACTCAACACATTCCCTCCCTATCAATCACCATTATTGAATCCAACCAACCAACCAACCAACCAACAAACTAACCAACCAACCAACCAACCAACCATATGGATCTATATATGGCTGGTATATGTAGATTTGTCTCAACAAGTGTCAAGTACTTGCACACACCTTGGCAAGACGACTCACTAGATGCTCTGATAGGTTTAGACGACTCTGAAGATCAGTGTCCCCACTTGCTTCTTCAAAGTGCTTACGACAAGAAGTCACAGAGTCACAAACATACATTGGAACGACTCTCCATGATCATCTTCCCTAGTCATGACCCATCATGACCCATCAACATTCACAGCCCTGTCACGCACCCCCCCCAAAACATCTCAAAAGAGCCATACTGAAACGGATGAAACCTCAAGATCAGAATGCTTTCAAACATCACCGCCGTCCAAGACAAAGAACGCATTCAGCGCTTGGCCACCCCGGCTTCACACCGAACCCCGGCTCCGCTCCGCCCGGAGGTTCATTCCGGAACGAGCACGAGAGCACGACGCAAACGACGCAAGCACCACGGAAAGGCTCCTCGACCCGCTCGATGTAGCCTTGGAAGATAAACTCCTGGGTGTCGTCGGGGTCGTCTCGGGTATCGCGTCTTCGTCTCGGTGGAGACTCCAGACTCCAGCGACGAAAGACGTGGGGTGGAGGTTCCGGTCGACATAATACATGGAGTGAGGCCACCTTTATAAACATACAAGATGGGGTTGAAATGACATATATATATATATGTCATCAACTATATACTATGTCATCAAGAGTCTGTGATTGTTCTTTAACACACACTTTAAGAGGGGATTGTTGAGAGGACTGTGATTCTGATTGGTGACTTCCAGCTCTAGGAGGTGAAAGCTGACTGACTGTCGAGTTGAACCCTGCAGGGAAGGACATTCCTAGACCTTCCAACGGCTAAAATATTCTAGTACGATTGGGTTGTTGTATTAGTTTCTGATGCTTCGATGGAAAAAAATGGTAGTTGTCAGAAACGACTGATTTTTGCTTAGCGGTGTGATTTGGGTATGCTCCACAGATTTTGATCCGAGTAGCCATCACCGGCTATCACACTTTAGGGGATGACTTCCGTATTTATCAACCCATCCATCCATCAGCCATCCCATGGGACGCAGTGGAAGACGCCAGTCATCATCGACCCGGCAAAGACCGACCTTCAAGTTTATTTTTGCGGCCTTCTTGATGACGATGACGATAACTGGAAAAATGCCCAGCTGCCGAGTGTCTTCATTTACCTTTATCATTATATAATGAACGACTTCGAATTCCGGTGGAATTGCAAGATGCGATGCAGGATATGCACAAATAAATCAAAAAACCGGCTACAGGGTTGCAATAAGTTCATCCTTGGCCAATGGCAGAGATGATTCGATATATATAAATACATTGATGTCACCACGACAAAGGAGAAATTGATAAAAACATTTGTCTGTTCATGCCCAGGTTGTGACCTCTGAAGACCTACATGGAGTGGAAAGCACTTAATGTTATTCCGAGGTTTCGGAGACAGAATTTGATGAAAACCCACGACCAGTTTTACCCGCAAAACGCCCACAAAAACCCTCAAAACGCCAAAAACCTGCAAACACCCACAAATCCCAGAAAGTAGGTCAAATGGTTTTTTGATGGTTTTTGAGAAACCTCTAAGTTCGTTGAATTGCAACTCTTTTGGGCTGAATGTCATGAGTAGGATTGCCTGCTCCACCTGGACAATCTTTGGTCATAAGCTGTTCGGGAGAAAATGAGTGCCTAGTCATGTTTTCCTACGAGCATGATGTCGACATGAGTTCATTTGTTAGCAACAATGCAATTATGGTTCCTTTTGCATACTCGTATGTCATTACCGTATCTTGTAGTTTTGCTGCGCTCGAGCCTGCTCGTAATTCTTGGAGCTCTAGGCCAATGTCTGATCGACCAGGGATTAGTGAAAGCCGCTCTTTCTTAGAGGGGGATATCGACTGCTCAAGCGATGGCCAACCCAGCTGCACTTGATTTCGCCACAAGTTTTGTGCAAGCATAAGAGATCATACCTTTGAACTCCCGTGAAACCGACCAATCATCATCGTCATCATCATCATCATCCATCAGTCATCCAGAGGCCACGGGGAGGGCAGTGTGTGACCATGCACGACCACTCTTTGTTTGAATCGTATGTGCTCGACCACTTTTCAACTGATCGTCACAATAAAGTAGTACAAACCACATGGACCAAAATATTTTGGGATTTTGAAGGTCTAGGTTAATTAAATGGAATCGGTATCCTACTGTCACGTATTCACACTCCGCAATGCTACAACATGTTGCAAAACAAAAACAAAAAAAGATAACAGCAACAACTTTTCGGCAGGATCCTCATCCCGGGTCATCGTACATGGCATACTCAAGTAATAATAATACTACTACTGACTATAGTTATATTAACAACAACATATAACATATTATCATATTATGTTCACCCACGTTGGTGCTGAATACACCGCGAAGAACAAGGACTCACGGCGGCCACGACCGCAGCTCTCAGCGGTTCGCTGCGGTCGATTGAGCTGTTTGAGCTGCGCCTGTTTGAGCTGTTCCAGGTGCTTCTCATCATTGGTGCTCGTGAAGGGCAACTTGGCCAACCGCTCGACCTGGCGCATTCGAACAGAACGCCGACCGAGTCGGAGCGAAAAGGAGCGTCGTCTTCGATGGTTTCCAAGCAAAACATGGAGAAGTGCCGTGTTTCGTCGACGGCGAACAGGACTGTGTTTGTGGGTGTGTGTGTGTGTGGAAACTTTGAGGTGAGCAGAGAAATGGAAACGTCAAGTAAAACCACTCAGTTGGCAGTTGCCTAAAAGGTGTCTGGGTTGGGTTTGGAGGCCCAATACCTTGAAAGTACTTGGAGTCTCCCGATACTTGGTCAATGCCACGGTGATCATCGAATCATAGTGGACAAACATGGCCCAACCGCCATCCCAAACAGATATACCATGAGATTCCAAGCACAATTCAATTTAATAGGCAGAATCCCACAAGAACCTTTGTTTTACCAAAGGATGTTCCATGATGTTCCATGTCGGTATCATGTTTAATAAGGTCTTTGAAGGCGAACCGGTATAGAGTCAGGTCAAGAGTCACCCAAAACACTGGCCCCAACGGATGCTCTCAACAGCGACGGGATCATTCCGGGAGGGATCTGCGTCACCATCTCCAGCCAGGTCATCATGGTTCTTCTTTTTTGCCAGAATGGTCAGGGTCCACGGTTTGGTTTCTGCAGTTTGCCATGCACAAGTGAACTGTGTCTGGAAGAATTGACGAATGTTGATGTCCTATGGCCAAGTGAACTGTGGAAACCTTGAGGACCCTGAACAAATTCATTACCCTGAACCCTGAACTTGCCTGAATGCAGTACAGGACCCTTGTTCTATGGGCTCTTTGACCACAAATGGATCAACCGTACATCTAGCAGGTTTACTGGTTACAAACATCTGCAGGAAGAACTCACCCAATTACATCTAATTACTATATCCTACGAAACCAAAAATGCAACTGGCGGAACAAAACAACTCCTTCTGTAACATACTGTCACAAGGACACTTTTGTCTACGCCCACAACTACTGTGGAGGCATCTAGCGAAGCCTTGGTAGGCGAAGCGAAGCGAAGCGAACGCAGCGCCTCGCGCCGCTCTTCCTCTTCTTCCTTAATCTTCTCCTCCATCCGGATCGCCCTGGCCCCGCCGAACTTGACGGAAACACCGAA